CCCCCCCCCCCAAAAATAAAACATACCGTGCGTTTTATAACCATTGTTCTCTTGAGGTAGAATCAAATCACCGGCAATTGTATCGGATCCATTTACCGTTATGTTACTAACAGACCGTCCTCGTTGCGTCGGTGAGGAAACGGACGAGGATCGACCCTGAAAATAATAATTAGGATAATCTCAGATTTTTGCAATTCATTCTTACTTTGTCACGATATTATTTTACTAAGCTTACCGAATTGGATAACGTCAAACCTTCCATTCTCTCTTCCACATCTGCCATATTACTAATACCACTATCTTTGCTAGTGGTAGCCCTCTCTAAACGTTCGAAGCCGTAATTTTGGATTTCGGCAGTCGTGCGTCGTAGAGATCTGTAGGAAGGACTTTAAAAATTAGTATATACTTAATATTGTGTAAAAATTAGGATATTATATTTCATTAAGTTTAATTATAAAATATTTAGATTCAATGTTGCAAATTTAACATGACGGAACGCTGTCTACGTACTTATATACTTCTTCCAAGTTCTCATCTCCTCCATCGATTTCAGTCTTGTCCGTTTTAATATCGTTTTTCGCTTTCGTTCGAGCGGGTGAATTCTGTGATCTAGGCGGTGGTGTACCAGGTGATGCCGGAGTACTAGAAGTGGAAGATTTCCTTAAATGGTTCTCCAGTAGAGGCCAGGCTGTTTCCTAAAAAAAAAAAAAGAAGAAAAACAATGATTCAGCACGATGTGAGAAAACACTTATGAGTATATATAAGTCAATTATTAAGCTCATTCAACACACTTGATAGTATTTTGGTAATTCGGAGAGTATCATAGTAACTTGAGGTGGATTAAGATTGTAAAGCGATATCACAGCATTTTGCGCATGTCTCCTCACGTCGTGACTTTTGCCGTCATTCGACCAATCGAGCAACCGTGCAAGTGCTGTCGCTGCAGAACTGCCCAGCGCGGACGGTTCTGCCGTCTCAGCGATCTGCGTGATAAAAGTCAATGCTGCTACTTTCACGCGAGAATTTGGTGTTTGTGTTGGATCTGTCAGATACCTCATCACAGCTGGTAGAAGCTGTTGGCCCGGGAAACAATCTCTGGACAAATCATTATGTACACATACATATTAAAATTTGATGATTACAATAAACTCGATACAAATAATACAGTGTATTGTGTCTATAAAAGTTGTTAAATCCTCACCTCACAACATCAAGTGTTTTGTGAATCTTTGTTTGTATGGATCCCAATAGATCGGTGCCTAACTTATTGAGAAGCCTCGCACATAAAACATATAACCAATCGCCAAGACCTTCGTTGTGAGTAATCAGGAGTTCGTTCAATGTGTCCAAGAACAAACTAAATACCTTGGTATGAGAATCCATAAACATTTTCGTAAAAATATCCGTCACTCTACGCAAATCTGTTGTTGTTAAAGTTTTTCCGTTGCTCAAATAATGTTGTAAGCCCACTAAACCTTCTTTTCTATCTCCCCAATGTTTATGAGCACAGTTTTCAATAATTTCTTTGATGTCCTGTAAAATGAGAAAAAATTGCTGCGTGTTGCTTTCCAAGTATTAATGTTAATTTATAACTATATTCTGAAATATTTTTGATGCAAAATAATGAATAACAAAAATAATATTCACAAAATAAAAATATTTTTTTTTTTATACTGATGTACAATTGCTGTGTTAATCAATTTACAAATATTAACAATCAATTTTATTTCAATGAGCAGAAATAAAAAAAAGTAATTTAACAAACCTTTGGGATAGACTGATCCCATAGATCACGGTATAATCTCGATTGAGAGCCACTCCATGAGAACGACTAATGGGTAGATGGGCGATGGAGAGATATGGAGAACAGAACGGCGTGTCGCGTTAGTCCAAACCAAACAAATATGCCGCAACAAAACCAAAAGTGAAAAAACCATGCATTAGCTACATTATCATACAGTGCTGAAAGCTTTATCGAGGTTCTATTTTGTGTTGAATAAAAACTTAATTCGTATAATCAATATTAAATTGTAAAATAACTTCATTTTATATAATATAATTAACAAAAAATAGGTTCCAAAAGAATGAATTCAAATAAATAAAAAAAAAATGCCAAAACGAGTCAACACAGGTTGTTCTTGTGTGAACAACTTGTGTTGGCTCGTATTGGCATTTTTTTATATATATTTAGATTTTATATATTTATACATATATTAACAAAAACAAATATATAATTTTTAAATTATAAAATTAAAATATTCAAAATTGTGAAATTTATATATTAATCACATGCCATTAAAACTGAAATAAAATATAAGTATTGTGTGTAAGCATTAATCAATTATAAAAAGCGATAAATCTATTAATTATCATATAAAAATGTAATTTCATAATATTAATGTAGCACATGACACATGAGATAATATGCATGAAAGTGTTCGTCATTTTCTCCTTTGTAAACGTGTGTTGGCTTACAAAAAAAATTAATTTAACAATAAACATATTACATAGCTCGATTCTGTGATATATGCCCATGTTTTGATCGAAGTAACAAAAATTCAATACTGAAGCCAACAAGTGTGCGTCTTTCTTATTTCTTTAATTTGCTAATATAAAACTTGTACTTACATCACTAGCTCGTCTAAAACCGTCTATACTTCTTTCTGAACATATACTGCTGTTTTCACTATCGTCGCTGTGATCCCCTTTGTTGCCTGGTATTCTGGTGTAATTATCAATACTGTCGAAAGTTAAAGCATCCGCCAATGCAGACTCTGCTTCACGTGACTTCTGCAGCATCTTTTGCGCCATCACTGGTGGCCTAGTGCTGTCCGTTGGCGACATGTGTAGATTCCTCCCTCTATCAATTCGAATAATTCGTATTATAACTATGCAATGTACAACATTTTCTGTAAACAGAATTGTTGTACTTACCTTAGTTTGCTTCCAAATCTCTGCGGACTCGGCTCACGACTGTTGCTTGTACTGCCAATAGTATGTCCGGATAATCGTCTTGGTCTGCCTATTAGTGATTCACCTTCGCGATTGTATGTAGCGTAACTTAATCTAGACGACGGGGAACCTGATCTACTGCTAGCTGTTGTGGAAAACAATTTTCGTTAATTCATAGTTATGTTTCTTTTCTTTCGTAAAAAAAATTACAGAACGTACGTTGAGATTGTGAAACTCCCGCCACTCTTGTCCTTGTCCTTGCGACTCTTTCTGGGCTAGCAATCGCATTGGGATCAGGGGATTTAGTAGGTCGAGCTGAAATAACACAAAAAGATACAATTCATTGAATTGTACAATGACAAAGAGTTATTTAATGCTCAATTCGATCATTTGACTCCATAAAATTTAATATTATAAGATATTACTCACGAAGTGCTGCTGCTGCCTTCTGTCTGCTCATATTCGCGTACATTATTCTCGCTTTCGCCCTTTGAGCAGCTTGCAAATCAATCGCGCTGGTAGATCTAACTCCTGGTGTACCTCGATCTGTAGAATTATAAAACGGATTAATTCTGATGTAATATTAGCTTCATGTAACTTCTACTTTACAACTTCTGTGCAAGATTAAAAAAAGGAAATCAACATAAGACAACAGTTCCGTTTGTGCATCTTTTCGTGTTGTGTGACATAACGTATACAAAGTGCGATTTATTTCTGAAGCAAATGACGATAGAACAATTACAGTGACTGTCTGTTGGTCTTTGTAGTATCGGGATACCAGATTGACGATAAGATCGAGGCAAGGACGGAGTACGTCTGAGCGGACCGTGCGGTTGACCCGTGGTCTGATGCAAATTTTCCGTACTACCTTCATATGTTTAATGTAAAGAGAAGTCGCAAAGCAGCATGAAAACAGAGTGACAAGTCTTTTATATTAAAATCGCAGCACGAGTAACATTAATATATTCAATGGCAACGTAATTCTTTTTAATGGAACGTTTTATCGCGGTAATAAACAAGCAGAAAATCTTTACCTGCCGCGCTCATCACGGGTCTGGCTGTACGTGGACTAACGCTCGACGATCTCATATTAGCCATGACATTTAAGCTGTTACTACTACCACTATTGCTAAGAGACATCAAGGAGCGTTTATACGTCGCATCCAAGTTATTAAGTAGTATCTCAGCCTGCTCTGGAAAGTGATTTTTAAATGCCCAGTATGATCTATAAAAAGTGATAAAATTAATGAAATATTAAATTAATCTGAAATCAAGGCATCATTAGAATCTGGCTGCAAAGAACTCACTTCCTAGCGAAGACTCGTGCTTCTGCGTCGGAATCCGCGATGCCCTTTTTAAGTGCATCCGGCAATATTGTTATGTGTTTCTGCAATATCTGCGTAGGCCAGGTCTGCAGGATTAAAGCCAGATATTCCCAAGACGCCCTACGAATATCTCTGCTCTTGTTGCTTACGCATGATACAATAATAGGCACATATCGAGTACAGTGGGTATTTTGAAGGATAAACCGAACTGCCACCGCTCCGGCTGTCGCTACGACCTAGTTGAAAATGGCAAGAGTAATTAAATTCTTACCTCTTATGGAGATTACATAAAAACTAACGAATACACGAACGTCGTAAGACTCTATGAGGTATGACGTTCGTCGTAAAGATGTGCAATTAGACTCGATACAGCAATTTAGATAATAATAGTATCTAAATGTAGCAGAGATCTAGCATTCCGTGAGACTTACCTTGGCACTGTTCTGTATGAGGTTCATTAACGTGAGCAAAACCGCCTCACCAAAACTGGCAAATTTGGTCTTCAGGCTCTGACTCAGAAAAGCGAGAGTTATACATGCTTCTCGCGCTACTTGGGATCTAAGGTCAGTGCAGGCCTGTTCAAACGGACGCTGTACGCTCTTTAGGCACTCGTGGAAATTTTCGTAATTAGTGCCACCTGCGAGTATAATGGCTCTTAACTTTCTCATCTGGAAAAGCAAGAAGATAACAGATAAAAAATTGGTGGTATCATTATACCACAAGGAGAGATAATTTCATTTTCTCACGATACATACGCTATCCATTCTTTGTTTCCAGTCCTTTTTATCGTCACCCACAGTATCCCTGATACTCTTCATCTGTTCTTCGAGATCTTTCGCTGAGAATAGATTGACGGTAGGTACGTCCTCGAATGAAGTAATAAAGCATTCTTCATCAACAGCTCCGGCTTGCGCTGAATACAAGTAATGATAGTTTTCTTTATACTCGCTTCGATACGGAAATATACATATGCGCTAAAGAATTATACTTTTCATTCTTTGCACTTTCAGAAATTGTGAATGATTATGAAACTAATTTCTAAGATACATAGATTGCTATGAATTGCTATAAATTGCTGTGAACAATGCTTAAGCGGTCGCGAAATGCATTACAGACAAAAATGATGACTGCATGTAATAAATAAGCGTTGTATGTGATTACATGTCAAAAATTATAAATGAAAAGGATATGATTGACTAAAAAGCAATAACAAATAGGGTATTGGGTACGTTAAGTTAGCACCTAAACTATAATACTCAGAAGTTCTGATTAGAGTTCCCACTTTCTTTTGACGAGACGAAGAGTTCCCTATAGTTAATAACAAGAGTTCCGCTCAATAAACATTTTTTTTACATTTTTTAAAAATGGGGTGCTAACTTTTTATTGAATTTCAAGGTGGAATAGTTCTGAGCGGCTTAATAGCTTCAATTTGCGATTGCCTAGAGTTCCTGATATGTAAAAAAAATTTTCGAATAATAAAAAAAAATTAAAAATTTTTGAAAAATTAATTTTTAGATACAATAGTTCTGATGATAATTCCTGCTTCTTTTTGACGATACGAAGAGTTCTCTATGATTTTTAATGACATATGCGCTTAATAATCATTTTTTAATAATTTTTTAAAAATGGGGTGCTAACTTTTTAACGAAATTCAAGGTCGCATAGTTCTGATCAGCTTAACAG